AGTAGAGACGAAGTCATCATCATCATCTACATTCATCAAGAAATCCAAAAAAAAAGCACAAACTAAAGAAAGAAGAGAAAGCTACAAAGTTTTTGATTCATCCGATCCAATAAGCTCATTCAAAAGCCCATTGATTCTCCTTACGAACTGCTTCTTCTTCCTCAGGTGTAAAATCATTCTCAATGTTGAACAGTGTACGAATCTCCTCTGGAGTTTTGCCCTTGATCATATCCGCAACTTTTTGGCACGTTAGGTCAAGCAAGCTTTGGATGTTGAGGTAGTTGGCACCGAGGATGAGATCAAAGAGGGTGCTTTGATCTGTTTCCAGGAACTGCTCGTCCCACTTCTTGAGTTCCTCTTCGGAGTTAGGGTTAGCCTCATCGACATGGTGCTTCTTGCAGTACTCGATCACTAGGGCAAGAGTCTTGCTCGTCACGTTAGCAAGAGGGATCTCGCTACCAGCGCAGTCGTCTTCAACCATATGCGCTATGGTCTGCGATTGGATCGCTACCTTCTCTTCCACCTGGAACGATTGACCATCGGAGCTCTTCAACACGATTATCTTCGTCGACATTGTTTGTTTTGATGAGAAAAAGATTTTAAAGAATTGAGTCTTGTATGAAGTTGTGTGATTTGTGAAGCCTATGCGTCTTTGTATTTATAAGCCCTAAGAGTCGATGGGATCAACACATTCCTTTTTTGATAAGGAAATAGTTATTTGTACGTGTCCTTTTCAGAAAAGGTAATTTGAGTGGTGTAAACCGAGATAAACCGGGTTAATTTTACATTTTGGTAGGCTCGAGAACTTTCAGATTCGTTGGTGTGATCAACATTTCCTTTTTTTTTTTGTTAAATAAGAAAACTTGTATCAACAATTCCTTTTCAGTAAAGGTAATTACAGTGTTCGGCTCAATTCTTTTCTTATGAACCAAGATTATAAAAGTACTAATCAAAATATTAACATCTATAAGAAACCAAAAGAAGACTAGCGGAAATAGCCGTTACAAGAAGTAAGAGTAATGGTAATAAAATTAGTCCAAGAGCTAATTGAGCCATTACATGTTTACATGGAAGACTAGGAACATAAAGACGCACGCAACTGTTGTAATCCATAATCAAATTCAGATTCAAAGATTTTCCATTAAGAAAAACCAACTACTATAATGCATTTCTTTCAATATGGTTGATATATATTAAAGAGGTTATGGGCCAAAACCCATACATCCCATCAGCTCCGAGACCAAAACATATTATATAGTATAGTCACAAGCGCTACTCAAAGATTTTTCATTGAGAAAAACCAACTAGTATAATGCATTTTGTTCAATATGGCTGATACTAGAATACTAAAGTATGATCATCCTTAAAACAAATCACAGTAGATGATGAAAATGGATCCTTGCCTTCAACAAACAGATCAAAAGCAATTATCAATCACTAGGTCTTTGTTACAATTAGTAACATACACTGATACACAAGTCTAGTCATCTATTGGTATATACTATATAGGCTGCGCGCCTAGTAAATAGACTAGTCTAGTCATCTCGTTAGGACCAGGACCAAAAGCAAAAACTTCTACGTACATTGAAAAATTTGCATGCCGTAGGAGTTACATGAAGACTAAAGCCAATATTTTACACAGCCGTATTGAAAGGGTTAACACTAACACTTTAAAGATACCTTCTAGATAAACTTAATTCATACTTCGTATGATTAAGGTTCATTACTTCTCATTTTGATGGATACACTATGTTGAGGAAAACTATCAAACAAAATCCAGCAGTTTCGCAAAGAAAAATTTGAGCTGAAAATTTTGATTTGTTTAAATTTCAACATATCTTAACGAAACTCATAAACTTTCAGAATTTTATGACGTTATAGGTACTAAAATAAAATTGGGAACCACAATCTGATAAATACAATTAAAAGTATAACCGTACTTTGTAGTATATTACTTGATAAACCATTGAAAATAAATATAAAATTGGATTACGAAAAAGGTATATCTCTTGGAAAAATTGAAAAGACTATATATATATTTAGACGTTATCAGAAAAATCAAATCTCTTTTTTTTTTTGGATCAACAATAGGTTAATCAAATCTCTTTTATTAAGATAGATTAATAAATACTTGATATTTCAAATTCGTTTTTACTAAATTAACTGAAATCAATACAAATATAAATATGATAGTTTTATGTGTCATCCAAACTGAACCTGAGAATTTGCATGGGAAACAAAGAATTTAGAGCGTTTTTTTTGCTAAACAGTAGACACATATGTTTTTATCCCTAGGGATAGGAAAAAATTAGAATTGAGAAAATTTAACTCTATGGAAAAGGTTTGTTCCATACTATCCAATGTAACACCTAATACTAATTGGTGATATTATGAGCTAAATAAGAAACACAACATAACATTGTTGGGAGCATTAATTTGATTAATAATGATTTCATAAGAGACATATGAAATGCAACACATTATCCAACCAGTCAACTTCTCACTGAAACCAAGTTATCTCATCAAAGCTTCAATAGCATTCTATTCAACCCAAACGATCATACATATTGTTCATATATGTCTAGATGGCCACAAATTTCTGTATGCAACTCGGGTTGGTACGTAGAGCGTGGAAGTTTTCTTGCACAAGCTTATGTGATTAGATGTCTAGCCATAAAGGCTGATTGTGTCTATATGAGCTAGATTACACTGAAAGCATATTTTAAAGGTGTTTTCGTAAAACTTTGGAGATGATTTTGTAAATTACGTTACATAGGCTTATGAGTCTAAACTCGGTCATCATGCTTGGTATCTCCTTTTTTCAGATCAAGATGTTTCTTTCGTTTAATCTTGAGGCAGTCAAATCTTTAACCGTTTGAATAAAAGTCCTTCCCCATAACTATCCAAAAGTGTTGATATATAGAAGAGTCTAGTCATCTCGTTAGGACCCCCCGGAGCTTATTTTTTCTGGATGGCAAACAAAGATTCATTTGTCTTTACACTATAACTTTCTCGGTAACGTATGTCTTAGACTCCTTAAATAAAATTTTGGAAATACTTAATACAAAATATGTACTTGGATTACATTTTGGTTTTGTTGAAATTTCTTGGTGGGCATTTTTTCCATCTTTGAAATTTTTTTCCCCAAAGCTTTTTTTTTCTCTTCTCACCGATATAGGTATATAAATATGATAAAATAGTACAAAGCTCAACATCTATCTATTTTCTTAACAAACAACAATGGGAAATAAATGCCCTGCTTTGATGATATACCTCTCTTGTTCTCTTCTTCTTGTCCTTCAAACAGTCCATGGTGATAACCCTGTCAGGTGTTTCGGAAGCTTCTTCAACGGCAATGGAAGCTACGTTCAGAATCGCCAGAAACTCTTCTCTGATCTTGCTAATCAAGTCGTCGCCAACGGTGGATTCTACAACGCTTCACTCGGCCAAAATCCCAACAGAGTTTACGCTCTTGCCATCTGCGCAAGAGGCTACGACCAAGAAGCTTGTCTCAGTTGTGTCCAAACGTTGGCTCAGCTTACACTAAAATATTGTCCAAGCCGCATGGATTCGTTCATATGGGGAGGCGCTGAGAACGAAGTTTCTTGTTTTTTACGTTCCTCAAACCACTCAACCTTTGGGAAGCTACTGCTTGGACCTTCTCTTATGTACCCAAATCCTGATACTATCGAGGGATCTAAAAACATGACCCTTTTCGAACAAGAGTGGGACGAAATGGTTAATCGGACTCTCAAGGCTGCCACTAATGCTAAAAATTCCTCGGTACTTAGGTACTACAGTGCTGAAAAAGCCGGATTCACGGAGTTTCCAGATGTTTACATGATGATGCAATGCATACCCGACATAACTCCCCAAGAATGCAAACAATGTTTGGAACATTGCTTGATGTATTACAGAAAAGATTATCAAGGAAGAAGAGGAGGCATGTCTAGTCTTCCTAGCTGTTTTTTCAGGTGGGATCAACACTCTTTCCACAATGCTTTTGATAACGTTACAGGAATTCCTGCGCCTCCTCGACCTCCGGCTCAGGAAAAGGAGAGCTCCAAAACAGATACAAAAGGTAAAACGAAAGAGTTATATAGAATTGCCACACTTTGTAATCGAGATAACAATATTCCACATTGGAAGCTCGATAAGGATCCTAACAGTATATAAGATATATGTGCCTCTCCACTAATTGCCAATTGGTTTTATGTTGGAAGCTCATATGTCTTACATACTATCATGATCTTTATCCAGCTTCCGATGTAGGATGTTGTTATCCCTCGTGATGAAGATGTTCTCAAACTAAAATTTGTTAATAATTTGCAGAAAGAAGCAGTGGAAATCGCGGTAGTATAGCAATATTTGCGGCTCTTACGTTCACTAACATTTTAGTGTTTATTGGCTTTATGAAAGTCTTTGCAAGGAGGGGAAAATATAAAAATGGTAACGTTACCTTGCTTGCTTTAATCAACCTTATGATGTAGAGAGTAAAGGCTTATTTCTGTTTTTTTTTTAGTTGGTAGCGCAGAGTACTCTGATTCTAATGGTCAATTCATGTTACGGTTTGATCTCCATATGATCTTAATGGCAACTGATGACTTCTCTTCTGATAATACGATTGGCCAAGGTGGATTTGGTATTGTCTATAAGGTAACAGTACCTTTTTTCCTAATAATGTGTTCTTGATCAACCAAGGTCTTTTAGGTGTAAATAGATCTTGAAAATGGGTTTCAGGGGACCTTCCCAAACGGGCAAGAGGTAGCGGTGAAGAGATTAGCAAAAGGTTCAGGACAAGGAGATATGGAGTTTAAGAATGAGGTTTCACTCTTGACAAGACTCCAACATAAGAATCTAGTTAAGCTTCTTGGGTTCTGTAATGAGGAAGATGAAGTGATTCTTGTCTACGAGTTTGTCCCCAATGCAAGTCTTGACAACTTCATCTTCGGTGAGACTTTCGATAAGAGTATCGCATTTTGGATAGTTTTAGAACTTCTAAGCAAGATTTTATTTCTTTGAAACTCTACAGATGATGAAAAGCGTTCACTTCTTACATGGGAAGTGAGATTCAGAATTATCGAAGGCATTGCTCGAGGTCTTGTTTATCTTCATGAAGATTCTCAGCTGAAGATTATTCACCGAGACTTGAAGCCAAGCAACATCCTTTTAGACGCTGAGATGAACCCTAAAGTTGCAGATTTTGGGACAGCAAGGTTGTTCGACACTGACGAGACTCGAGCTGAAACTAAAAGAATAGCTGGAACCCGGTAAGAAATATATTATATGCTCTGCTTTTAAAAACAGAGTCTTTTAGACATTTAAATGCTCTGTTTTTAAAACAGAGTCTTGTAGACATTTAAAGAATCATCAATTAATGTCATTGGTTTGCGTATATGCAGTGGATATATGGCTCCTGAGTACCTGAATCACGGGCAAATCTCAGCTAAATCTGACGTTTATAGCTTCGGTGTCATGCTTCTAGAGATGATAATTGGTGAAAGAAACAATAACTTTAAAGGAGAAGGACTTGGATCTTTTGTAAGCTTCTTCACATATCAGTCTTTGCTCCAATTTCTTTTTAATCTTCAAACCTCTGTGTACAAAAAGTAACAATACATATTTTCTTGGTGTAGGCATGGAAGAGATGGGTTGAAGGAAAGCCTGAGAGTATAATTGATCCTTTCTTGATAGCGGATCCGAGAAACGAGATCATCAAGTTGATCCAGATTGGTTTGTTGTGTGTACAAGAGAATGCAGCAAAGAGACCAACAATGAGCTCTGTGATCATTTGGCTTGACAGTGATACTATTATTATTCCTTTACCTAATGCACCTGCTTTCACTGGAAGTCCATCCCAATCTGAAAGTAGTACAATGTCAATGAGCAGCGATGGCTTCACGGAGTTGAGTTGTCGTTGAGCTGTAATTCAGTTCATCAGAATCTGGTTTCCGAAAGAAAACTAATGTAATACATTGTATTTTGTGGTCTTGGTCATGAACTCATCATGATCATGATCAAAGAACTTTCATTTTATCTTTTGGTCTTGAGTTATTTTCTCTTTAAGTAATGTTACATTTTTTTAAATGGTTTTGTAATGATGATGGTCTATATATGTTTTGATCCTCGAATGGTTCAACAGCAACCAATGATATCTCTACTTGAATATTAGTTTCCCTAAGTTGGATTTGGATCTGTCTACAACGTAAAGAACCTCTAAAAACTCTTATCACAATCCTTAGATGGATCACATGAAGACTAAAACAATATTTTTTCACAACCGTATTTGAAAGGGTAATAACACTTAAAACTTTTAGATAACTTATAGATAAAGGTAAGTAAAAGAAAAGATTGGTTTTATTATCCTTGAAATCATAAAAGAAGAAAGAAACACAAATCATAAAATAAAAGTAGAGACAAAGTCATCATCATCATCTACATTGATCAAGAAATCCAAAAAAAAAGCACAAACTAAAGAAAGAAGAGAAAGCTACAAAGTTTTTGATTCATCCGATCCAATAAGCTCATTCAAAAGCCCATTGATTCTCCTTACGAACTGCTTCTTCTTCCTCAGGTGTAAAATCATTCTCAATGTTGAACAGTGTACGAATCTCCTCTGGAGTTTTGCCCTTGATCATATCCGCAACTTTTTGGCACGTTAGGTCAAGCAAGCTTTGGATGTTGAGGTAGTTGGCACCGAGGATGAGATCAAAGAGGGTGCTTTGATCTGTTTCCAGGAACTGCTCGTCCCACTTCTTGAGTTCCTCTTCGGAGTTAGGGTTAGCCTCATCGACATGGTGCTTCTTGCAGTACTCGATCACTAGGGCAAGAGTCTTGCTCGTCACGTTAGCAAGAGGGATCTCGCTACCAGCGCAGTCGTCTTCAACCATATGCGCTATGGTCTGCGATTGGATCGCTACCTTCTCTTCCACCTGGAACGATTGACCATCGGAGCTCTTCAACACGATTATCTTCGTCGACATTGTTTGTTTTGATGAGAAAAAGATTATAAGAATTGAGAGAGCTTGCGTCTTGAATTCTATGAAGTTGTGTGATTTGTGAAGCTTATGCGTCATTGTATTTATAAGCCCTAAGAGTCAATGGGATCAACACATTCCTTTTTTGATAAGGAAATAGTAATTTGTACATGTCCTTTTCAGAAAAGGTAAATTGAGTGGAGTAAACCGAGATAAACCGGGACAATTTTACAATCTGGTAGGCTCGAGAACTTTCAGATTAACATTTTCCTTTTTTTAATAAGAAAACTTGGATCAACAATTCCTTTTCAGTAAAGGTAATTATCAATGAAGTAAACCGAGATAAACCGGGTTACACTTACATTGTTCGGCTTAATTCTTTTCTTATGAACCAATATTATGAAACTACACTAATCTATTCTAAACTGTAGATCCATGAATTATATAGAATAATGAGTGTGTAAACTATTATATAAAACTAAAACACCTTGATTACACGAGCATACAATTGAAGGGAAAGGGAAAACAAATTGGTTGAGATTAGAATATTAAAGTATACTCATCCTTATGACAAAACACAGTGATGCTGAAAATGACATCCTTAGACTAGTACTCGAGTCAACTCGTTAGGACCAGAAGCTTTTTTGTTCTTTCTAAATGGCAATGGCAAACAAAGATTCATTTGTCTTTGCAGTAACTTTCAAGGTGACGAATGTCTTAGTTGCCTCAAATAAATTTTAGAAATATTTAATACAAAATCTTGGACCACATTTTGGTTTTGTTGAAATTTCTGGACGCGCAATTTTTCCATCTTTGAATTTTTTTGTCTCTTTGGAAGGAGTCAACTAATACATTTTGTCCATATATTTATGATAAGATAGCACAAAGCTCAACATATAACTTCTTAACAATAACGTAATCATTAACAAACAAGAATGGGGAAATCCCCTGTTTTGATGATTTACTATTCTTGTTTTTTTCTTCTTCTTGTCTTTCAAACACTCCATGGTGTTAACGCTGTCAGGTGTTTCGGAAGCTTCTTCAACCGCAACGGCACCTACGCTCAGAATCGCCAGAAACTCTTCTCTGATCTTGCTGATAAAGTCGTAGCTAACAATGGATTCTATAACGCTTCACTCGGTCAAAATCCCAACAGAGTTTACGCTCTTGCCATCTGCGCAAGAGGCTACGACCAAGATGATTGTCTCAGTTGTGTCCAAGGATTGGCTCAGGATACGCAAAAAAATTGTCCAAGCCGCATGGATTCGTTTATATGGGGAGGCAATGATGACGTTTCTTGTTTTTTACGTTCCTCAAACTACTCAACCTTTGGGGACCTCCTCCTTGGACCTTCTGTTGTATCGCCAAGTCCAGATCTTGTCGAGGGATCTAAAAACATGACCCTTTTTGTAAAACAGTGGGAAGAAATGGTTAATCGGACCCTCGAGGCTGCCACTAATGCTAAAAACTCCTCGGTACTTAGGTACTACAGTGCCGAAAAAGCCGGGTTCACGGAGTTTCCAGATGTTTACATGATGATGCAATGCATACCCGACATAACTTCCCAAGAATGCAAACAATGTTTGGGAGATTGCTTGACGTATTACAGAAAAGATTATCAAGAAAGAAAAGGAGGCATGTCTAGTCTTCCTAGCTGTTTTTTCAGGTGGGATCTATATTCTTTCCACAGTAGAGCTTTTGATAATGTAACAAGAATTCCTGCGCCTCCTCGGCCTCCGGCTCAGGAAAAGGAGAGCTGCATAACAAAAAAGAAAGGTAAATTAACAAATGAGTTATATAGATTGCCACAATTTGTAAGTATGATGAAGATCTTCTCAGACTAAAAATTGTTAATAATTTGCAGGAAGAAGCATTGGAAATCGCGGTAGTATAGCAATATTTGCGGCTCTTACATTCACTAACCTTTTGGTGTTTATTGGCTTCATCAAAGTTTTTACAAGGAGGGGAAAATATAAAAATGGCAGTGCAGAGTATTCTGATTCTAATGGTCAATTCATGTTACGGTTTGATCTCCGTATGATCTTATTCGCAACCGATGACTTCTCTTCTGAAAATACGATTGGCCAAGGTGGATTTGGTACTGTCTATAAGGTAATAATAACTTTTTCCCCTAATAATGTGTTCTTGATCAACCAAAGTAACAGATCTTGAAAATGTGTTTCAGGGGACCTTCCCAAACGGGCAAGAGGTAGCGGTGAAGAGATTAACAAAAGGTTCAGGACAAGGAGATATGGAGTTTAAGAATGAGGTTTCACTCTTGACAAGACTCCAACATAAGAATCTGGTTAAGCTTCTTGGGTTCTGTAATGAGGGAGATGAAGTGATTCTTGTCTACGAGTTTGTCCCCAACGCAAGTCTTGACCACTTTATATTCGGTGAGCCTTTCGAAAGACAATCACATTTTTGATAGTTTTAATTATTCTTAGCAAAATTTTGTTCTGCAGATGAAGAAAAGCGTTCGCTTCTTACATGGGAGGTAAGGTTCAAAATTATAGAAGGAATTGCTCGAGGTCTTGTTTATCTTCATGAAGATTCTCAGCTGAAGATTATTCACCGAGACTTGAAGGCGAGTAACATACTCTTAGATGCAGAGATGAACCCTAAAGTTGCAGATTTTGGAACAGCAAGGTTGTTCGACACTGACGAGACTCGAGCTGAAACTAAAAGAATAGCTGGAACCCGGTAAGAAATATATTAAATGCTCTGTTTTTATAACAGAGTCTTTTAGACATTTAAATGCTCTGTTTTTATAACAGAGTCTTGTAGACATTTAAAGAATGGTCGTTTAATGTCATTGGTTTGCATATATGCAGTGGATATATGGCTCCTGAGTACCTGAATCACGGGCAAATCTCAGCTAAATCTGACGTTTATAGCTTCGGTGTCATGCTTCTAGAGATGATAGCGGGTGAAAGAAACAAGAACTTTAAAGGAGAAGGACTTGGATCCTTTGTAAGCTTCTTCACATATCAGTCTTTACTCCATTTGATTTTAATTTTCAAACCTCTGTATATAAAAAGTAACAACACATATATTCTTGGTGTAGGCATGGAAGAGGTGGGTTGAAGGAAAGCCTGAGATTATCATTGATCATCTCTTGATAGAACATCCAAGAAACGATATCATCAAGTTGATACAAATTGGTTTGTTGTGTGTTCAAGAGAATCCAACAAAGAGACCAACCATGAGCTCAGTGATCATTTGGCTTGGCAGTGATACTATTACCATTCCTTTACCTAATGCACCTGCTTTCACTGGAAGTCTATCACAATCTGAAAGTAGTACAATGTCAATGAGTAACGATGTCTTCACGGAGTTGAGTTGTCGTTGAGCTGTAAATTACCAGTTCATAAAAACATTGTTTCCGAAAGCAAACTATACATTCTATCTTCTGGTCTTTAGATATATTTTCCTAAGCTTCATCTCAAAGTGTATCTATTAACTATGCTATTACGCCATTTTCGATCATGTGATTTACTTCAGTTTAGGTTTGGTTTACCTCTATCAATTAAACAGAAAATACTGTGTGTTTAAGCTCGCGCTTTTGCTGCTAAGCCAATCCGTTTAGCACATGCTTATAACATTGTTATTATAACAAAAATATTATACTTTTTCTTTCCTTAGATGGCTCATTTATGTCATGAGAATCAATTTCTAGGGAAATGTACCAATCGGACAGCCGGACAGGAGATAGCGGTAAAGAGATTGCCACACCTGTTGCTTCTCTTACACGACCATCATCATTATCACCCATCACCATCGTCATCAATGTGCCGCAATTGGTCATCAATCATCAATCATATATTATACTTCTTTGCATGTCTCACTCTGTGCAATCAATGACATGCTATCTTGAGAAAAGAGATGCCGTGTTTTGTAAGCAAATTATGGCTTCGAATGGCAAAAGCAGATTAGGCAAAACGGATCAAGCGTTTCAAGTAAATCAAATGAAACAAATGCAGATCAAGCTTTTTTGCAGAACAATTGTAAATTATTTATTTTAATTTAAAATAGGAAAAAAAAAGGAAAGAAAAAGCTGTTAAAAAAGCAAAGAAAAAAAAAGTAAAAAGCAGTACACGTTTGTACCACTGCCAAATAGGCGAAGGATTACTGTAGGTGGCAGATCTTTATTTTTTTGAACTGCATACAGTTCAATAATATTTTATTATTTTAAAAACTGAACTGCTTTATAATTAAATTAAAAAGGTGAATGGAAACACATGTGCAGTTCATTATGCGGGAGAACTGCACATGTGTTCCCATTCACCTTTTTAATTTAATTATAAAGCAGTTCAATTTTTAAAATAATAAAATATTATTGGTAGTACAAGTGCAGATCATATATTAAACATTTTAAAATAGAAGTGTTTGATCTGCTCTGTTTTATAAGAAAAAACATGAAAATAAAATAAATTTTTTTTTTCCACCTACAAAATTTAACAGCAGAACTGCAATTATAAATAATAATTATCAATTTTTACAAATGGTAAACAAAGTGCAGTTAATCTTTTCTACTATATATATGCTTTATATCTGTCTTTTCATTCAAACTCTTAGAGACGTTATTTCTAATGGATATTTTGTTTTCCCCCAATTTAACGGATGACACCACCAAAGAGGGATGGACGCAAGAGGAAAGTCACGCAGCACAAACTACGTTAGCTTATATGGAGTTTTTAATTACCACCACAATAAACTATATGCAATATTTTGTTTTATGCAATATTTGGTTTTAGTCGTGGACATGACAAGGGAAGACTTTATATAATTAGGTTCTATGAAAAGTCATACGAGCAAGATCACTTTTATACCTAATGTGTGCGTGTTGTAGGGGTTGCCTTGCCTTGTCGAAAAGAAAGAAAATTTTACGCAGAGTCCACAATTCAAGGTTTACTTAATTACTTTCATATATTTAAGTTTTGGACATTTAACAAGAGTGCTAAAGTAAATAATATTTAATTTAATTTGTTCCTTTTCGAGTTTACTACAAATTTTCCACTTTTTTTTTCTTCATATAAATATACATATCTTATATAATAAGACAATGTTTCTTCTAACTTTGCCTCACAAAACGACATTTGGCGCTCTATATTCATGACATTTGTTTTTTTTATTAAATTCTAATTTAACATTAAATAATTATTTTATTTGTGACATTGTGTTATAAGTTGTAAGATATGTATTGTTTGCTTTTAAAAAAATGTCATTGTGGCAAAAAAAATATTTTCTCCAAATTTTTGTTTCTATTTAAATTACATATCATATAAGCTAAACATAAAATGGAGTAGTTAAATTTTTTTCTTTTAAAGTATTTTTTCCTAAAGTTATTAATATGGGTAATAAATTATTAATAACATGATTTTATAATTTTTGAAAAATAAGTTTATAATAAAATAATTAAAGAGAATTGTTTTTTTTTTACTTTAGCATCGTGAAATCTATGGTAAATAATGAAATTAGAGAAAGTTAGATCTTTTTTTCAGTATAATAAAATAGTACACCTAAAATATTTAGATAAAGTAACTATTTAACCAAAAAATATTCTATTATTTAATTTAGGAAACAAAATTTATTTAATTACTATTATTAAACAGTTGAGAGAGAAAACACAATTAATAGAATAATATATCATGAAATTTAATCAAAGAATAATTATCATATTATTAACAAATCATAGATATAAAAATAAAGTTTCACTCTTTTTTTATTGGTTCACTTGGCATGTAACTTAAAAAAATATTAGGTATTATCATATATATATATATATACATATATTTAATTCACAATTTAATATAAAACTGAAAACAATTAAACGACAATACACATTTAATCATATACATTAGAATCACACTTTAATATAAAAACTGAAATAATATAAATTTGCATTAACTATATTTTACATTGATTTTTTCAACTCACAATAAATTATAATTGATTCCCATAATTTTTTTATGAAATTGTAACTCCCATCACTTCTCTTCCTATATATACTCATTTTCTTGGTTACCATTCCCTCATTCTCTCATCCTCTAATTCTCTATCTCAATTATTATATAAAAGAATAGCTTTGTGTTTTTTTGTATGAGTTCAGGAAACAATTAAAATATTCATTAATAAAATCTCAATTGTAAAATAAATTAGAGATTATATGATATACATCTTATGTTATTATAATTTTCACTTTTTGGAAAATCATCTCTATTTTCTTTTTTAGTTTATCATCATATAAGTAATCATTCCCTCACCCTGTTCCTTTATATTCATGTATCTTTAATATTTTTCTATTTTTATGTTGTTATATGGCATAAAAATCAATGAAATTAACATTTAAGAATTTGATATAAATATTTTTAGAACGTATGATACAAATCTAGCATATTTTTAAATTTAATCGTACTTATAAATTAAGAAAGTATGAAACAACACATGTGTAAAATAAAATAGTTTGAAGGCATAAAACAAAAACATTGACCACTATTTTTGTATACAAACATACAAAGAAATCAACACTTTGGTAGATAAATTAGAGAACTTACCTGGTACTAACCTAATATATCTTTTTAAAATTTTTAATATTTTCCATTTCTTCTCTAAAATTTTATTTTTTAATTATTTTCATTGTTGTTGTATAATTTATTTATGTATAATTCCCATGATGTTATTGTTACATTATTTTAATTTTTCATTAAAATAGAATATATTATTTTTTCTCGGAAATCTTGGTAGAGAGCAAAGTGGCTACGGTAAATTGTATGTGACTTTTCTTTTTAATTAACATAACCTATTTTTAAGAATACATATGGTTTAGTTTTTATTGTATATGTAATTAATATTAGGCTATTTTGATGCTCTGGACTAATATAAAGTAGCTGACAAAAAATATAATATTAATGTGTCGTTATATAATATTATCATATATGAAATATTAGAAGATATGATTTTTTGAGAGACCGAAGTAAAAAGTAATCAACATTTCATAAGCAATGATTTTTTTGAAAACAAAAAAAGAAGATGACATAGGGGCAAACCTAAAGTAAATTTATATAGATTACAAGTTCAAAGAGTTGTTTGTAGTGATCTAAGACGAGAAATCTTACTCTTAGTATCCTAATGTAGTTGAATAAAAAAATATTATAATCCTTAGTACAAAATAATCATAAAACATATACACTTAGTTAATTCTCTTCATTTTTATCCAAGCAAATAAATATTCTACGAGATAGTGCATAAAAATGAAGAGAGTTACTTAATTGCTTCAATTAAATTGATTCAAAAAAATATACTAATTTATTATTAATGTAATATCAAATCTATCTCGCGCATCGCGCGGGTCTACTTCTAGCATATACATATATATAGCTCTTCTCTATTTATACAACCATTTTACTATATATTAGTTATTTCAAAATTGTAGATACCAACAATTTTTATGAATGTCAATGAAACTGGTTTGGGCTTACGTCTATGAAGCTGTATTTGAAGATGGTAAGTGTCTATCAAACTGATCACTTTGCCGTTTGCACACCCTTCCAAAACAATGCATGAGAACATCTGGACTCTTGGATCCATATCGATAATCCAAAGATGTAGGAAGGATTGTATTCTTTCTATTGTGAATTGAGTTGTTGTATTCAAAGAGACAACTTCTATTTTAGATAACTTATCCTCAATGTACTTACAGTTTTGCGCATGTCATCATAAGAGGCTGGAATGTAATGAGATGACAATTTTGTTGTTTTTCAGCCACACCAATTGTTCCATATAGCCTATTGGTACTTTTGGCTGTAGTACTCTTGGTTGTAAAAGTTGCTGACGGAGTCGTAAGTGAAGTCATTTTTTCTCTTAACTTTTCTAATCATGTTACTGTTTTTGTTATAGTCACCCCTAGGTCAGACTAATTTGTTAGAGATAAAAATCTGGAACTATAAGTAGAACCCCAAAATCTCTCTTTATTAAACCGAAAAAAAGTAAGTTAGTATAACAAGAACATATTTCGTTTAGCAAAAAAAGAACATATTTCGTTTAGCAAAAAAAACATATTTCGTTCTTCTACCAAAAAAAGAACATATTTCGTTTAGCAAAAAAATAACAAGAACATAGTAAACACTCTTAGCCTAACCTGATCAAAACACCTCTTAATTTTTCTCGCTAGCTTGGATGAGTCTCGTAAACCAAAAATCATTCCAACTAATTATAATAAAACGTAAACATAAATTTTTTTATTAGAAAATAATATACGAAACATATCTATCCTAAATGAGTTCCTAAAATACGAAAATATGAAGTATTTGTATCATAATTGCAAAAAGATTTTTAAAAGAATAATCTTCGCCTCAAATAGCACTTAAGATCTAGAAGGAGGGAAGACTTTTATCGGTCACGCTACCAAAAACAAAAGCTGTTAATAAATGAAAAGGATGTGCATGTGGTAGGGTTACATACTTACATATACAATGATTAATTCAAGCAAAATTGCAGATATATAAA